CTACACTAGCCAAGAGGTCCTTCCTTCTTGGCCTGGGGAGGTACTGTCCTGGCCTCTCCACCTCCTGGCTCTTACTTGGTCAGCGATGACTGTCCGGTGCTGATACATTCCAGGGTTAAGCTGCCAACGACAGAACTGGCCTCTCCAGCCACGGGTAATAGTGCCTCCCCCGATGCCACCCAAGGGACAACCTAGAGAAATCAGGATGGTTAGTGGGGTATTGGGAGAGGAAAATAAGCATATTTCTAACTTTCTAGACTATAAAGCCTGGTTCTTCTGAAAACCTAGGGAATGGAACAGTGCAATTTCCATAAACTGGAAGCCTCTGCCTAACTGTGGTAGACCTGGAGGCTGGGCCTTTTCTGAGCAGAGCACAGATGGGGTGAGGCTCACCATAAATCTGTCTTAGGGGTACAGAATTGATCATGTCGATGAAAGGTGTCTTCTTTTCCACCTGGGTCTTCCGGTACCACCACTGCAGGTACCTGAGGAGCAAGAGGCAATGTGAGTGGAAGGGGGCAGGTGGGCAGTTGTTCACAGGCTGTCACCTGCCTGTCTCTGTGACCTCCCATTAAATGTCCCAAGGACATCTGCTTTCAAATCTCTCTTCCTCTTGATTTCTGTACAGTTCAAGGTCCCTTCATCTTCCCAGTCACCCCAGCTAAAGTGTAGGAGTGGCTTTGTTTCTCTCCTTTTTTCTCCTCAGAAGGGGCTTTCTGATCTCTCCTTATCTCTCTAGTGCCACCACCACTGCTTTACTTCCAACATCAGGAGCTTCTGTCTGAGGTGCTGAAAGGACCGTTTATGGTTTCCTGGCCTACAGCCTCCACCCCCAATCCCCTACCTCCAAAACAGGCATAGACTCCTGGGGATAACTTTCTTATTTTTATTTTTATTATTTATTTATTTTTTTTTGAGATAGAGTTTCATTCTTTGTTGTCCAAGCTAGAGTGCAGTGACGCGCAGTCTTGGCTCACTGCAAACTCCGCCTCCTGTGTTCAAGCAATTCTCCTGCCTCAGCCTCCCAAGTAGCTGGGATTACAGGCGTCCACTACCATGCCTGGCACATTTTTTTTTTTTTTTTGTATTTTTAGTAGAGATGGGGTTTCACCATGTTAGCCAGGCTGGTCTTGAACTCCTGACCTCAGGTGATCTGCCTGCCTCGGTCTCCCAAAGTGCTGGGATTAGAGGCGTGAGCTACCGCTTGTGGCCTTTCTTCTTTTTAAAATGATCATTTTTCTTTCTAATTGTGAAAGGTGAAAGGGGGAAAAAAACCATCTCACCCACAGACAATCAGTGTTTATATTTATTTCTGGGCATTTCCTCTCAAGTCTTTTTTTTTTTTTTTTTTTTTTTTTTAAATTCAGCATTTAAACCGTGAAGCTTTCTGATTTTGCTCTCGGTAAAGCCTTCAAAAAATCCCAACATTTTCCTGGGCTTGCTACAGCCCTGTATCCAAGAGGCAAATGATTGAGGCTGTTTTCAGTAGGCAAATGATTCTGTTTTCAAGGCTCTGACATCTGTCCCAGCCTATCTTCTAATCTTATTTCCTACAAATTCTCATTCCAGATGGGTCCTCACCAAGTAGCCCCTGCCTTGCCAGGCTCTTTCCCATTTCCACTGTCCTCCCTACCTAACCACATTATGCCTACTGTTCAGTCACACCACTTCTAGCCAAATAATTGGGTAAGTAACCCCTAAGTCCCAGTTTCTTCATCTACAAAATGAGGATACCACCTGCTCTAGCTACCTAATAAAATGGTTGAAAGATCAAATGACAATAGATAAGAAAGCCATAAAGTACAGGTATGATTATTACTCATATATACAAACTGCTATCTCAATTCCTAATCAGACATTGCCTTGTTATTTCAGTGTTCCTCATGTGAGGCTGACATATTTTTAAGTTCCTTGGGGAAAGGGACAATGACAAAGACTAGTTGAATATTACCCTCAGGTCCAAGCACCGGGCAGGACATATGGTCTGCAGTCAATGCATATTTGCCAAATTTACAAATGAATGAACATACAAATGATGGGGCACAAGAGAGATAACAGACAGACTGGAGCAGAGGAGGAGAAATGTGATTAAAGAATAGGGACAGCGGCCAGGTGCAGTGTGGCTCACACCTGTAATCCCAGCACTTTGGGAGGCCGAGGTGGGCGGATTACCTGAGGTCAGGAGTTCAAGACCAGCCTGGCCAACATGGTGAAACCCCGTCTCTACTAAAAATACAAAAAAATTAGCCGGATGTGGTGGCGGGCACCTGCAATCCCAGCTACTTGGGAGGCTGAGGCAGGAGAATAGCTTGAACCCAGGAGACAGAGGTTGCAGTGAGCTGAGATCGCACCATTGCACTCCAGCCTGGGTGACAAAAGCAAGACTGTCTCAAAAAAAAAAAAAAAAAAAAGGGACAGCACATTCTAGGGGTGGAAAGAAGAGGGAAGGAAGACAAAGGATGGGATGACAAGAAGGCAGAGAATCCTCTCTGCCAGCTTAGAGAAAATTGGACTTTGAAACTAGAGGCCAGAAAGGACTGGTAGAGGGAGGGTGCGGCCGAGGATTAGGGCAACCAGGGAGAGTAACTGCAATCTATGAGGATAGGCAGAACAAAGGACTATCTGGCACGGAAGAAGCACTCAATAAATATTTATTGAATGAGTGGACTCTGGCTGGAAGGGAGAACAATTGAAATTGAATTCTTACCGAGGTAAGGCCCAGAGAACTCTGTCTTGCTGGAGCTCCTGGTCAGAGTGTCCCCAGTTCAGCTCCGTCTTAGGAGCTCTCTCACTCCCTTAATATGGTAGCTGGCCATTCCTGACCTATTTGGCCTTCTCCACAATTTCAACCTCAAGAGTTATCACTTAGAATTCTTGTCTCACCTGTGCTTTCTCCTCACAGGAACTCATCCTATTCCAAAAATCTTGTATCAGTCCCCCCTACTCTATCCTGGAATGGGGAGCCAGGGTCCAGGGGGTTGAGCACAGCTTCAGGCCTCTATGACTCAGTTCATATTTAAGGGCTAAGAGGCTAGGATGCCCATCTTTTCTTGATCTCATTGTTCCCACCACATGCAACTCAGTGTACTTCTCTCTGTACACTAGATCCTATTTTGACCCAAAAGCTTTTGGGGTCAAACTTGGACTGAATTGATTTCAGAAGCAGCCTGGAGGGATGATTCTTCTCTGCTGCAGGCCACCCACAGGCACCAGCAAAGCCAGATGTGCAGGCAGCGTCAGGCCCTTCCCACTCCCCAGGGCTGGGGTTAGATAACTGACCTCCCCATCACAGCCCCACAGCACTTACTGGGGAAATGAAGGGTCTCCTCTAGAAGCTGTCAGGGCAGGATTTCCCAAGCTTTATGCCTCCCTCCACAGTTCTGTGTTTATTGTGTAGACTGAGTCAGGATGACCTCAGGGTGATGCTTTCTGTCCTCACATCCACCTGTTCCTGTTAGTGGGTCTGGCTCCTCATCACTAGTCTTTGAACTCAGTGGGGATCTAGACGGGTTCTACATCTATGGCAGTGCCTCTCTGATAAATGACTTAATATCAAGAGCTCTCTCTCCCAGAATAGAATGACAGCACCTTTTCATCACTTCAGAGTTGAGGGCAGGGAGGCTCTTACCTACTCCCTGGAGCTAAAGCTTGAGGAAAGAAGCAGTAGTGTTGGGACTCTAACAATGTACCTAAAGAGGTACAGAGAATGCCCCAGCTGTTTGCAGGAAGTAAGGGGTTGAGACTCCCCACCCCCAAATAAAACAACATTGTGTTAGTATCACAGCAGCCAGATTATCCTTTCCTACCTTGCCACAAAGTATAGCTAATCCCAAAGGGAAGTCATTGGAAACCAATATGTGAGAAGGAGCCTGAATGGGAAAGGCTGACTGCGTGACCAAATGTTCCTACTGTTTCCTTCTGAAAAGACAAAACACTGGGAGGGAATGGTGTTGCAAAGAGATGTGACCTGGTCTCATGGTCCAAAACCATAGGCCTAAAATATGCCAGGGATAGGGGCCGCTTCACTGGGACAAGAAGCCCAACTGCTTTCTTGCCCTTTCCCACCTCTGCTAGTTTTGAGCTAGAACAAAGTGAAGCCAAAGGCATTCTAGGCAATGGGGTCTACTCACCTCAAGCCCATGCCTATATGCTTTATCATGTTCCTTAGGGAGACATTGTTAGCTTGAAAGGGTTTCCTCTTCTCTGTAAACTCATGAGCCAGACAGATGCGCCAGCCAAAGGGAGGCACCTGGTAGCCCATAGCTTTACCCTCATAGGAAGCCATCAGCTGCCCAGAGTCCTCCGGATTGCAGCAGCCCGTCTCTTTTTGGGGTCGGTTGTCTTCGGGACTCTTGCAGTCTGTAACCTGCACATCCTTGGTGCCTACAGTCTCTTCAGGGCAATAAACCTGTGGATCCTCTTTGACACAGCTTATCTGCTCCGAGGCTGGGACGCCAGTTCCCATGTTTCCTGGATCCTGGGTCCCCATGACCTCGATGGCCCCAAGTTCCGAGCCCTCGGATACTAAGTATCTGGCCAGCCTATTCCAAATGTGGGCGCCGGTGGTTGTTAGGTATCGTCCCGGAGGGCCGGGCGTTGGGGAAAGCTTAGATGAGCTGGTGTTTCAGTGGAGCCGGGGAGCTCTTGCTTCAGTGGCGGCGGCGACAGCAATGAAGCCGCCTTGGGCTCTCCTTCGGTTGTCTCTGTAGGTCCTGGACGGGAAGGGTCGGGCCTCGTCGTCATTGAGCCGCGATGATTAGCTCGCCCGGCCAAAGGGCGACTGGGCCCGCAGAGAGGGGAGGAGCCGCGGGGCCAGCCCACCAGGCACCGCCCCGGGACGGGCCCGGAAGGCACCGCCCCCAGGACCTCGGCCCGGCCCCTGGGCCACGGCACCGGGTCCCCCAGGATTGGGCGCCAGGTCCCGCAGGCCGGCTCCGGGGCAGCGCCCGCGCCCAGGTGCCAGCCCGTGGGAAGGTGACCCTGGGCGCCGGGACAACCCGAGCCCTTTCCGGTCTGGCCGGCCGGGCGCTTCCGGCCGGAAGGGACTCCGCGGAGGGTGGAGGACCGAAGGGAAGTCCCGCCTCTACCGCCCCCCGGACGCTGCCGCCAACGTCGCCGCCGCCGCTGCCGCGCACCTAACCGGGACCCAGAGGGGCGGGCAGGTGAGGCCTGGGGGTCCTGATCCCTAGTGTCGACTATGCGAGGTGACGGGCGGCCGTGATCTTGGGCTGGGACGTGGAACTTTGAGGAAAGGAGGAGCGGAGGCCAGTTTGGCAACTCCGCGGGGGTGCCCAGGGAGAAGAACCCGGCGCACAGGGGCGGGGGTCCAGGGCCCAGAGCGACGTCCTCCCCCGGGCAGTACTGAGTCTTCAGCCGCCTCCCTGCCACCCGCTTACCCTTCCTATATCCAGGCGCTCCCTCGGGCACCACGGTGCTGACCACCCCTGTCCTCAGCCCTAGGTGCTCACCGCAACGCTCCTCCCTGTCACGGTGCTGACCTCCGCCCCACCTTGTTTCCTTCTAGATCTGATTCCGGAGCTGCCATGATTGAAGTGGTAGCAGAGCTGAGCCGGGGTCCTGTATTTTTGGCTGGGGAGGCGCTGGAGTGTGTAGTGACCGTCACCAACCCCCTTCCCCCCACGGCCACTTCTGCATCCAGGTGGGGATGCTGGCACTGAAGGTGGTGGCCCTTCTGGGAAGAAGCCAGAATTATCTCTGGGGCTGAGGCAGAGCTCAGGTTGTCCTGTAGCGACACTACCTCCTTTTGCTCATTGTGCTCTCATTGTAGGAGAGGGCCCTTTAACAGAAGATGTGGATGACATAGCTGTGCGCTTTCCTTCCCCTCCCCCTTTCCCCGTTTTACCCACAGTTTGCTACTCTTTATGGTTTCTCTTTGGAGTTCTGGATTTCCTGATCACTAGGACAGTCATCTAACCTTGTTGGTTAAGACAGTGCGATAGGGAGCTTGGAAAAGCATTTGTGAGGTCGGGAACTACCTCGAATACCTCCTTTTCCTCTTCCCACAGTGAGGCCCTGGCCTGGGCCAGTGCTCAGATCCACTGCCAGTTCCATGCCAGTGAGAGTCGAGTAGCACTGCCTCCCCCTGACTCTAGTCAGCCAGATGTCCAGCCGGACAGCCAGACCGTCTTTCTGCCACACCGAGGTTAGAGAGGGGCATTTGCCTGGGAGAGGTGGGGTGTGGGGGGTGTGTGTGGAGGCATTGTCACCCATGGGTGAAGTTGTTAATTGTTCTTGTTCTTATAGTCCCTGTTGTGCTGGGAATGTTGGGGAGCATGACTATTTCTGTAGGGGTAGAAGACTATTCTCATTTCACAGCAGGGAAAGAGGGCCTGGCAGCTTTTCACTGTCTCCACTTGCCATGCTAGTCTTGTTCACTACTGGACAATGGGTCATTAAATTAGTCATTCTTACCTTTTTCAGGTGAGAGGGGTCAGTGTATCCTTTCTACTCCACCAAAAATTCTATTCTGTGACCTGAGGCTAGATCCTGGAGAGTCCAAATCATGTGAGTGATTGTCCCCATCCCTGAATTGCCTTCTAAGCCTCCTGGAGGGAGAACTCCTCTGGTGCCTCTGGCTGCCCTGACAACTACTTCCCAACCAGACTCCTACAGTGAAGTGCTGCCCATAGAGGGACCACCCTCCTTTCGGGGTCAGTCAGTCAAGTACGTCTACAAACTGACCATTGGCTGCCAGCGTGTCAACTCCCCCATCACGTTACTCAGAGTCCCTCTGAGGGTTCTTGTGCTGACTGGTAAGCAAGGGCTCCTGGAGGGAAGGGCTGGGGAAGGACCTTGTCAAAGCAGAAATTGTCTTAGAGGACTTGCAAGAGGGGCTGCAGGGAAAGTTCCTGGTCTCAGTGATGGTGCTCGGGAGTTGGGAAGGAAGGGAGGGTTTTGGAGATAGAGATGTACACCTCAGCCCTGGCGCCCCTTACCTTCAGCCGTCTCACGTTGGAATCTAAAACCCTAACCTCTACTGTCATCTCTGTTCCCTCTCAGCGTTACCTCTCCACTCATTCTTTCTCTAGGCCTTCAGGATGTCCGGTTTCCCCAGGATGAGGCTGTAGCCCCATCCAGTCCATTCTTGGAGGAGGATGAAGGTGGGAAGAAGGATTCATGGCTAGCTGAGCTGGCTGGGGAGCGCCTAATGGCTGCCACATCCTGCCGCAGCCTCCGTGAGAATTCTTTCAGAATTGTCCTACCCCATCCTTCCCCTCATTGTATTCCCATCTCAGACAGTCTCCTAACCACCACACACTTCTGTGGATCCACTGATACCTCACACCTCCAATTATAAAGAAAAGCCCCACCTTTTGGCCTGTGGTGCCCAGTCCTAGACGTTCCCCAGTGTGTAGACTCCAGGCTTATAGTGTCCTATTCTCCCCAGATCTATATAATATCAGTGATGGCCGAGGGAAAGTTGGAACGTTTGGCATCTTCAAATCTGTGTACAGACTTGGCGAGGACGTGGTGGGGACCTTAAACTTAGGGGAAGGAACTGTAGCTTGTTTGCAGGTAAGAAGGGAACAGAGCTTCTTATCCGCTGGGTGCTGGAGTTGAAGGGCTAGGGTGGAAGGCCTGTAGAAAGAGGGGTGGCATGTAGAAGGGGATAGTGGGGTCATCCAGGGTCCCTTTGTAAAACAGCTTGAGGTTGGGCTGTCCTCTCACCTACAGACAGCACTTCCTGTTAGCACACATCTCTTGCTCCCAGTTTTCAGTCAGCTTACAGACCGAGGAGCGTGTACAGCCTGAGTACCAGCGGCGACGTGGGGCAGGGGGTGTCCCCTCTGTGTCACATGTGACTCACGCCCGGCACCAGGAATCCTGCCTGCATACAACCAGAACCAGCTTCTCCCTCCCAATCCCTCTCAGCTCCACCCCAGGCTTCTGTACAGCCATTGGTGAGACCCTCACTGTTACTGGAGAAGGGAGAAGGGGACAGTAAAACGCTGTGCTAAGGGGGGGTGTAATGGATCCTGATTCCTTATACACACTCCCAGACATACCCACATCTAGCCTCTGACCTTGAACAGTTTCTCAGACCTTCAGCCTCTTCCCGTTTCTTAGATGCACTGACCCCTAAACTCCTAACAGCTTGATAGAACTCCTTCCCAATGCCTACCTACTGGGAGCTTGTGATACACTGATTTTTGATTACTTCACACTACCTAGACTTCACTGCCTCACTCTTGGGTTGTTAGGTATTCTATTCTGCTATGTTAGGTATTCTTTTCATTCTGCTATCTTTAGCTGACATCTATGGGACTACCATGCTCAGAAAACCCAAATTGCCTTGCAGGATTCAGACCTCCACGCATTCAGATACTACCGCCCCCTCCCGCACAAAAACCCCTTACCATCCACCAGCCTCCCCTGCTCTGTGACTTTTGCCTGTTTTCCTGAATACAGATTGTTTTTTTCTCATTCACTAACTATATCCTGTCATTGGCCTTTACTCCCGCTGGCTTCTAATGCTTGTACCTTAATCTTTTTCTTCCGTAGTGTCCTTGAAGTGGAGATTGCATTTTGAATTTGTAACGTCCCGAGAACCAGGATTGGTACTCCTACCCCCTGTGGAACAGCCCGAACCTACCACCTGGACAGGTCCTGAGCAAGTACCTGTAGACACCTTCAGCTGGGACCTCCCCATCAAGGTGCTGCCTACCAGCCCCACCCTGGCCTCATATGCTGCCCCAGGCCCTAGCACCAGCACCATAACCATCTGAAACTGGCCCACCCTGGCGCTAGTTCCTTGCGAATACTGAGAACTCAGCACCTGGACTCTAGTGGGACCCACTTTTTCCACCTGGGGTCCAATGTCGTGGACAGTGAGAGTCAGGCTTTCAGCTATAGCATTAATTTATTTATTCAGAATACATTGGCAGCTGCTAGTGGTTTCCCTGGAAGTGGCAGCAGCAGTGAGCAGTCAGCAGATGGGTGATCAGTTGAGTTTAGCTGGAGTGGGGAGCAGGAGCCCCAGGAACAGGGGTGTTGGCTGAGCCCCATTCTGGGTCAGGCCCTCCCCCTTTGCAGGGCAGCCGAGGGTCAGATTTTTGCACCAAGGAGAACTGGCAGGTTCCTGCCTCCTGACGTACCTCACACCCAGCCGGAAAGTCGATGGGATGCTGGGACCTGGGAAACCAAGGATGGGGGAAGGAATCAGCACAGTGAAAGGCTGCCTTTATCCCTGCCCACATGTTCCCTCTCTCACAGCTTTCCCCACTAGAGCCCCTTTCAGTGGCCCCTTGGTCCTCCTAAGCTCTCACCTACCATATGTGGGCCTTTTTGTTTTATAACAGGAGTATTTTCTCTCCAGGTACACCCCAACCTCCCCTGATTTATAGCCTGAGGCCTTATCTTTCACACTAGTGTTGGGCCCTTCATGTTCGGCCCATCTTGTACTGCTCTTCTGTTCATTCTTACATCACAGCAATCTAGTCCCTCCCTGGTCATCCCTCAGTCATTCACATCAGAGTCATTCTCTCTGGCTATCTTTGGTCACTCACGTGTCACAGCAGCCCACACCAACAGGATGCAGACAGGTGCAATGGAAACAGTCCTTGCGGAGCCAAGACTCACCCAGGGTGAAATATTTCCCCTCATAGTGACAGGGGGCTAGGGAAGAACGGAAAATGTTAGTGGGTGTAGGAGTGCTGATGAGAGGCAGAGTCTCTTCAGGTCTGGGGTGGAGACGGTAAGTACATACTATATCCGTATTTAGTTTGTCTTTCCTCTTTCACAGCTGAAGGGAGCCTGGGTATTTTGACATGGGATCATCTCTAAGGCCCCGTGCTCCCTGTGCCCTCTCTGCTGCTCCTTCATTCCTAATGCCTCACCCCACTTTACCTTGAGCTTGGAAGTAGCACTTGCTGTAGACTCCTGGGTGCTGGAGGAGTAGAGACATCACCAAGCAGACGATCCCCCAGCCTCCTAGGATCCCCTTGGCCTGTCCAGCCCAGAGCATCCTCAGGGCCATTACTGCTGCACAGCCCTCTCGGACCCTTCTTGGCCTCTGCTCAGCTACTCTGGTCTTGACTCCTTGACTTTGCTTTGCGTTGCTCCTTGAGTCTTAGTTTCTTTCTTTCTCCCCTGGGCTCCTGTCTCACACTATCTCCCTGCCCTCTGCTCTCACAGGCTGGGGATGTTTATAAAGTGAGGACCCTGGCCCCCTGCTGAGTAGAGCTGGAAAAGCTGTAACTCTGTTTCCTGAGGTGAGGGCATGAAAACAAGAGGTCTAGCTTTAACAAGCTGTGAGAGCTGATTCATGCCCCGGCACAGCTAGAGGGAGGGAGGTGGCCATGGAGCGGGCACTGGACTGGGCACTTCCCCAGCAAGGAGGCAGGAGGGGTGAGGGCCCCCAGGTGGTCCCCAGATCTCTTCCCTGACCTGGAGAGAAGGAAGCATTCCACCTTCCCCCTTTCTCCCCCACTGCCACCACCAGGGGTGTGTACGCTGGGATCCCTGCCTGGACCGGAGGGAGGCATTTCCTGGGGATGGTTAATCCTGTGCCCCAGCCAAACCCAGGAGCTGCAATAGGGTGCGACGGCCAGAGGCTCCAGGAGAGTGAGCAGGCACCTGGAATGGAGACTGTGTTTCTCTCAGATCCTGGGGCAGGGTTTCCCTAATGTATCCAAGAAATAGGGCTGCCCCTCAGAGATGGTGGGGAGGGTCTCTTTTCCTCAGGCATTCCAGAGGTGAACTGTCCATTGCTTATCACCCTCAAACATACAGCAGATGTGGGATCACCCCACCTCTAGGGATGGTTCTTTCCCCCTTTCAAAAAGGAGCATCGCTATGTGCCCTGATAAGATGAATCACTCCAGGTTCACAGAGGTGTCCTCTCTTTCCTCCCATATGTAATAAGTGTGGTTTTTAGGAATTTATCATTTGGCATCCTCTGAGTTTCCCACAGGTTCTGGAGGAGCCCAGGATGCATGATTGAGAGCATAGGCTGCAGAGACAATCTTCTTGGATTCAGATCCTGACTCTACTTAGCTATGTAACCTGGTCAGATTACTTCACCTCTCTGAGCCTGTTTCCTCATCTATAAATTGGGGATAGTAATGCCAACTCATCGGGCTGTTATGAGGATTAAATGAGATAATGCATGCAGTGCTCTTATCACCATCTCTGGTACGTGAGCATCAGGAAATAGCAGTTGCTGTGATTGGGGTTAAAGCTCAGAGGCAAAATGGGTGACATCCTTTTCTTTGAATGACATTAAGCAGTTTGTGCATAGCTGAGGGCTTCTGTTGGGGATGGCTGTCTCCTGGCATAGACCTCTGCCCCTTTCACACTCATGCTCCATGTTAGCAGTCCCCAACCTTTTTGGTACCAGGGACCGGTTTTGTGGAAAACAATTTTTCCAGCAATGGATAGAGGGGGATAGCAGTGAGGGGATGATTTTGGGGTGAAACTGTTCCACCTCAGCTCATCAGGCATTAGATTCTCATAAGGAGCGTGCAGCCTAGATCCCTTGCATGTGGAGTTCACAGTGGGGTTTGCACTTCTCTGAGAATCTAATGCCCCTGCTGATCTGCCAGGAGGAGGAGCTCAGGCGGTAATGCTCACTCGTTCGTGGACCATGTCCTGCTTTGTGCTCCCGCTTCTTAACAGGCCACAGACTGGTACTGGTCTGTGACCTGGGGGATGGAGACCCCTGCTCCATGTCACCTTTCCCACCTCTTTCAAAAACAGGTACCTCCAGGAGCATTTTGGTTTTGGCCCTTGTATTGACTTCTGAATGTCTAGTTTGAAAAACTGTTCCCAATAAGCCTTCTTCCCCCAGATCTGCACCCTTACCTCTACCATGGGACAAGGTGTCCTTTTAAGTCTCCTGCTTTTTCTCACTGGGATTCGGATCCATTTCTTCCCATCTCTGCTCATGTGAACTCTCCAGTTCTCCTTTCTCACCACTCTCCTGCTAGCCATCTCTTTGGCACTAAAGGCCCTGGTCAAACTGGATTTCTTTCATTTTCCATACTTCAAAGACCCATGTTCCACGTATTCCCCATAAGGACAATTTCTTTGGCGTTTATTTGATTTTTCTAAGTTTTCAGTCCCGTTTACTCCAAGACTCACTCCCTGCCACCTAGTGCATCAGATACAACTTCCCGCTGACTTTTCAAGGGGGGCCGCCCTACCTGTCATCTCTTCATTGTTCAGAAATGACTGTGTCAGTGCACCTCATACTGCCTTCCTGTCCTCTTCCAAGGAGACAGCTAAGGTGGATGGAGATGCAGAATGGACCTCACGTTCGCCCTAGTCAGGACTGATGCCCTTTCTGTTTCAGAGGAGTGCCAAGAAAAAACTCACAGTTGCACAGCAGGGTGCTGTGAGGTCGGCTGCAGTGTGGGAGGCACGGCCTGGGCCTGCTCTCTGGGCGGGAGCAGGTGGATTCGAAGGCCTGTCTAGCACGAGGACCCAAAGGTCTTGTCAGTGGCCAGTAGCTCTGCCGCCTTTCCCAGAGAGGGGGTCCAGTGGACACCTTGGAAGGAGGCTGGACTGTGGGCCATCTTCTGCAAGCTAGAGCCAGCCCAATAGGGGGCGGACGTGAGTGGGTAGCTGGGGCGCATGAAGGTGGGGGTGATGCTGAAGGGGAAGGGAGCCCTAGTGGGGATTGGTGCGTGTGCAGAAACGGGGACAGAAGTGAGGGTTCATCGCCTGTAACGAAGATGAGGTAGGCATACAGGGGCTTCTGGAAAGCTAGAGGCTGGGCTGAGCCAGGAGTCCTCTCCCAGAAGTTGGGGGGCGGCGCAGAGGTGTGGGTCGAGCCCGCATGCGTGCCTGATGGGGAGGGGGTGAGTCGTTGAGGACCAGGCCCGCCGGGTCCCCGGGGCTCGGTGGCTGGCGCGCAGGGCCCGGAGGGGGTGGCTGGCGCGCACCGCACGCATGGGTACAAGGAAAACATCCGCCGGAGGCCCGGCCGGGCGGCGCTCCAGCCTCGGGGCAGGTGCGCGGCGAGGAAGTGAGAGTATTCCGGCCCCACCCCCAACCCCGGCGGCCCTCCGGTGAGTCACCGCCGACCCCCGCCGCCGGAGGGAGAGGGGAGCTGCGGGCCAGAGCCCCGGAGGGTTTCTGGGAGCAGAGGGTCCCTTAGTGGGCTTCTGTCCTGATGTCGCTACGGGCGCGAAACGGACACTGAACACAGTCTGACTGAATGGAGGCAGGTGGGGAGGGATCCCTTGGGAGAACTTGGCGGACCGAGAGCAGACCCCAGGGCAAGGAGGAGCCCCCGAGGAGGAAAGGGGAAACCGGCAGATGGCGAGGCCCAGAAAGGGCAGGGGAGCCGGGTTGATTGGGGTGACAGAGGAAGGAAACACGCCAAGTTAGGCCTGGGAGAACTGAGGGACCTGAGGAGGGAGGAGGGAGACCAACATCAGGTGGGAAGGTGGAAATGGCTAAACCCCAGGCATCAGGTCTGTCCAGAGGCTGGCGTAGACAGTGAAGGGTAGGTTTTAGGGGGTAGGGGGAGTTATGATTATTTGGGTACATTTTGGGATTATTTGGTCTCATAGGTAGAAGGGAGCCTGCTGGTCTCGTGTAACGGATGGTTTAAAAGCAAGGTTGTCTGCGTCTTGGATTACTGTCTGCCATTCAGCCTTTGCCAAAAAACTTGGCACTGATCTGCACATTTTTATAGTCATTTAAAACTGTATGACTCTATTTGTCAAACGATTTAGGTAATTTTGGATTTTTTAAAAATAAAAAATTTAAAAATAAAAATAGAAGAGTTGCACAATCTAATTCAATATTTGACTTAAAACCCAAAGTGAGGCTCTCAGATTAATAATATGGTGTTGAGCCTTTTTCTTGTTTGACTTTTCTGCCATTTTCCCCTCACTGACTTGATTGAATTCTTTGTGACTGATGCCTCAGTTTTTCTGGATCAGTAGTGCTGCACTTCCACTTTTCCTCTCCCTCATTTTACTGTCTTTATTTTTAACCTTTTTTCTGTGTAGCCCTCTAACAGGCCCTATACATTTTGAACCAAGTAAAACATTTCTTGGAATGGGAGCCTTGGACTACAGTATACAAAGACAAGTCACAGTTTTAGCATATATGTTAGGCTACTATCTTCTGTGGATGTGTATGTAACTATACAGTTTCTGTATTTATCCTGTGGCTGACAGAAAAAGTTAAAGCTGTTTAATTCACCATAGTATTTCTACAACACAGCAATTTATTAGCCTGACTTCTCTTCTAAAATCAACACTAAAATGGTATTTTGTATTTGTCTCAGAGACACTAATTCTGTCATGATCCTTATGATCTGTGTTGGGCCAAAGGCGATTACTTTATAAATTATAAAGAACCTTAAACTCTGCATTGCCTTTGGTCCCAAACAAGCAAATCTGGGTCAATTAATAATAACAACAACAAAAAAGAAAAATGTCTTGCTTTGGGCCCTGTTGCTTTCTCCCATGCTGTTTTAGCCCCGGCCCTACCCTATTCCCAGTGGCCTTTGCCTTCATTCCTTCTTTGCTCTGCTGGGCATCTTGAGAGGAAAACTTCACACTAACTTCCTCTACTATAAATTCTCTCCCTTCTCTCAACTCTACACTTCTCTTCGCCAACATACACCATTACTGCTTCACTGATTTTTTTTTTAAAGCCCCACAGTCCTTTCTGGCTCTTTTCCACCTTTAACACTCTTATGTTGAAATCCTCCCTTTTCCTCCTTTCTCTTTAGTAAGACCTCAGATTTTTTTAAAAGCTAGGCTTGATTGTTTATTCTGTATGATCCACTTCTGCCTTCCTTCCTCTTCTATTACCCTTTTCTTATTCTAGACTGTTTTTAAACTCAGTTATGCTTGCTTTCACCAAAACCTTAAACTTTCCTGTGATTAGAAAAAGATGCTTATGTTTCCATTACTTTTCCTACAATAAAACACATTCTCAAATTCATATCCACTTCAAACTCTCCCAACGTTTTGCATCCAGAAGCATAAAGTGGCCATTGTTGTGAAGTCTACTGAGTGACCATTTAAGCTTGGTGTTATGCCAGACACTGTATAGTTAATTTCATAATCCTGGTGCCAGTTTTCTAAATTATTACAGACAATAGATGATGGGCCGGGCACAGTGGCTCACACCTGTAATCCCAACACTTGGGGAGGCCAAGGCAGGCAGATTGCTTGAGACCAGGAGTTCAAGACCAGCCAGGCCAACATGGTGAAACCCTGTCTCTAAAAATACAAAAATTAACTGGGCGTGGTGGCGCATGCCTGTAATCCCAGCTATTCCGGAGGCTGGGATGGGAGAATCACTGAAACCTAGGAGGCGGAGGCTCCAGTGAGCCAAGATTGCACCACTGCACTGCACTTCAGCCTGGGTGACAGAGTGAGACCCTGTCTCCAGAAAAAAAAAAAAAAAAATTCTTTGATATGCAATTGCTTCTCCACTTTCCCTTCCCTCTCATGATCTCTGCTCAGTAAAACCAAGGTGCAGTTTCTGGATCCACCTATCTTGGGGGTGATTAGGAGTAGAGGGTTGTAAATACCTAGAATTTTTTTCCTTTCTGATATAATTCTTGACCTCCTTCTAGAAGTCCTGTTGTCTTTGCTGTAGAATTTTTATTTAAGCATTCTTTTGCAGAAGAATCTCTAATGTCCTTTTTTCATCCAGATTTACACTTGACAAATCCTAAAGCTACTTCTACACAGTTCCTTTATCCATTTTTCCTTTTTTGTGCCTATGTTATTTTTCATGGGTTTATCATCTCTTTACAAATGGGCTGCATTCACTGAGGGGCAGCATTGATTTCCCGCTGCTGTCACCCAGTGCCTCAGCCTCTCTTGATTCTTTTTTTGGTTCACCCTTGTTTCCCATACTTACTTTCCTTTATTGTCTGTTCTAATCTTCTCCATATCTATCTGTTTAATGAAATTCACTATTTTGAAAAAGATTTCTGGGGTCTCAAAAGTTTTTCAGGGGATCTCACATAAGTCTCTGCATTGTGACCTAAACTGTGTAGCATTGATTTCCAATAGATTGAGGCTAATGGGCGAGGGGAGGGGGTGGTTGTTGGGAGAGTGGAATATCCTCATGCACAGAGTTTCTCAGCTGTGACACTGTTAACATTTTGGAGGATAATCCTTTGTTGTGGGGTGCTGTCCTGTGCGCATTGTAGGATGCTCAGCAGCTACTCAGTAGATGCCAGTGATACTATCTCAGTTGTGACAACCAAAATGTCTCCAAATCCTGCCAAATGTTCCTGGAAGACAAAATATGCCCTCTACCCGAGTGTTGAGAATTACTGTGCTAGAATATCAGCTTTTTGAAATTGATTAAATGGTTATACTTTCTCTTCCTAACTGCTGATTTGTAGCTGGAGTTTTAAAAGTGTGGTCTTTGACTTACTTGGTAGGTGGTAGCTTCTTAAAATTGCAGGTTCCTGAGCGTATCCTAGACCTACTGAATCAGAAATGCTGAAGGTAGAACCCAGATCTGATTTTTACAAGACACTACCTTCCCACCCCCAACCAGGTAATTCTTCTGCCCTAGGCTTGACCCTCCTGTGGCATAACTGCTGCATTATCTACATTTTTTTTCCCTGCAAGTCTTCCTGGTGTTCCAGCTTTGCTTCCGCTTTTGGCCCCATGATGCCAACACAAATAAGGAGGCCTCAGGTTACCAAGACAACTGGAGCACAGGAAACCGTAAAGGCTCAGTGCTCCCACAGGCATCACGGACTGTGGCTATGCTGG